ATTAATACTGACAAAAAACAAGAACTAGAAACAATCTGAGTGTTTACCCACATGAATGAAGAAAATCTGGTACATATACACAATGAATAACATTCAGCCATAAAAAGGATGGAGTCTTGTCATCTGCAAAGCACAGAGGAACCTGGAGGTCATCACATTCAGTCAAAGAAGGCAGTCACCATATGATCTCACTCACATGCAGAATCTAAAAAAGTTCATCTCCAAAAGTTAAAAATACAACAGTGGTTATCAGGGCCTGGGAAGAGTAGGAGGCAGGGGTGGGGAAAGGCTGACTAATGGGGACTAAGTTATAGTAAGACAGGAGAAAGAAATTTTCATGTATAATTGCACCATAGGGCGATTATACATCATAATAAGCTGTGTATTTCTCTAACTAGAAGAAAGGATTTCTAATACTTTCACCGTAAGAAAATGTCAAATGCTTTAAGAAACACATGTGTATCCTAATTAGACATTACACAATATATTCATGTATCAAAACACTATATAGTATCCCAAAAGTAAGCATAATTTTCCTTTCTCAGGTAAAAATTAAACAATTTTGAGGGTGGAGATTTGGCCTAAAAGTTCAGACATGGGCTAAAATGACCACATCCTATCCAGGACTGCCTGGGTTCCAGTCCAAACACTGGATCCCACTTCTAATTTCCCAGCTACTGGATCAAGTAGTTGGGTTCCTGCCAATCGCATGGGGGATCTGGACTGAGTTCCTGGTTCCTGGCTTTGGCCCTGGCCCAGCCTTGGCTTGGTAGGCACTTGAAGCAACTGGGATCTCTCTATATATAACTCTTGAATAAACTTTTTTTTAAGTATTGGTAAAGTTTTTTTTTTTTTTTGACAGGCAGAGTGGACAGTGAGAGAGACAGAGAGAAAGGTCTTCCTTTACCGTTGGTTCACCTTCCAATGGCCGCTGCGGCCGGCCCACCGCGCTGATCCGAAGCCAGGAGCCAGGTACTTATCCTGGTATGTGGAAGACGGCAGGGAAAGTAAGATCAAGAGAGCTCCTTTTTTACTGTATTGATTTATTTGAGAGGCAGAGAGACAGAAAGAGAATGCCTATCCACTGATTCACTCCTCAAATGCCCACAATCATCAGCTGGGCAAAGCTGGGAGCTCAGAACTCAATCCAAGTCTCCCATGTTGAGTGGCAAGTGCCCACCTATTTGACCACCCCTGCTGCCTTCCAGGGTATGCATCTCCAGGAAGCTGGATTCAGGAGGTGGAACCAGGAACTGAACCCAGGCATTCTGCCATGGATGCTAGGTGTCGTAACCACTAGGCTAAATATTCACTCTTGGGGGCCAGAGTTGTGGCACAAGGGGCTACGCCACCACCTGCAACACTGGCAGCCCATACCAGAGGGAGTCACTCCCGATCCAGCTCCCCACTAATGCTCCTGGGGAAGCAAAGAGTAACAGTCCAAGTATCTGGGCCTCTGCCACACACACGGGAGACCTGGATGGAGTTCTAGGCTCCTGGCTGCAGCCTGGACCAGCCTGGCTGCTGAGCGTCATTTCAGGAGTGAAGCACATGGAAATCTCTGTCTCAATACCTTTCAAATTAATAAATAAATCTTAAAAAAAATAACCACTCTCAAGTGTTCCTTTTTTTAAGCTCCCACAAAGGAAGTTGTAACAGCATATATAAGGGCTGCTTAAAAAAAACAAATCCACATCAGATGGAAAATCTAATCAAGCAGCTGACAGAAGGGAGCTGGGGGTGTGAGTAGCTGCAAGGGACAGGATCTCAGGCCAGCCTTCCACAGGAGCAGGGACGATTCACACGCAACAGGAATGACACACGCAGGCAGGTAGCCAGGTGGTCGAGATAACACAGGTGGCAGAGGTTCCCTTCTGCCTGAGTTTGCTTTCTCGACAAAATAGAGAGCCGGAGCGTGGGCATGGAGAATGAGGTGCCGTGCTTTGCTGGGTAAGATACACAATCAGTAAGCTGATGGAGAATGAGCCGGAAAGCATGGTACAACTGCCTGCCTGTATTAAGGTCCTCTTTGAGTTCCCAACGATGACTGCGAAACACGGCAGCGTGGTCTGACTTTCTCCCTAGCCATGGTCCAGAGCACGAAGCAGGCAGGAGGGAGTGGGACTTAACCAGGACCATCGCTTAACCAGATGACGACAAGGTGAAAGAGGGCTATAACCCGGTCAAATTCCAGAAATCACAGCGTGGCCTGATCACAGTGACACAAACAGCATTATTGATAAGGAAAAGATCCAATCACCACTGGAATGCTGAACCCCCCAACACTACCATCAGACCACTGCAGCTTCCCAAAGAGGAACAGGAGACACTTCAAGCAAAGGTGTTGTTTACTAACAGATGATTGGGCTAAACTTTTCTCTTTACAATTAACGAAATTTTGAATAAGCATTTGTATACACATGAATAAGAGTCCATTTTGATGCTTAATGACACACAGTAAAAAAAAACAAAAACAAAACCTCAGTAATACAACCACGCTTTTTCACTTTTCCTTACTGTTAAGTATTTAATCCTTGGGTATGCCACTTTATTTATTTATTTATTTTTTAATTTGAAAGGCAAAGACACAGAGAGAGATTCACAGACAGATTTTCCATCAGCTGGTTCACTCCTCAAATGCCTAAAACAGCCAAGACGGGCCAGGCTGAAGCCAGGACACTTGTACTCAATCCAGGTCTCCATGTGGGTGGAAGGGACCCAAGGATCTGAGTCATCACCTGCTGCTTCCTGGGTGCCCTTTTGCAGGAAGCAGGAAATGGGAGAAGAGCTACGACTTGACTTCAGGCACTCTGGCATGGAATGCAGGCGTCCCAAGCAATATCTTAACCACTATGCCCAATACATGCCCCTGCAAATACTTTTAATTAACAAACAAAACCACATCAAGAAGAGATGGGGAAGAGACATCTGCCCTACAGTTAAGACTTGGGCTAAGACATCCATGTCTGGTGGCTGAGCGCCTGGGTTTGCTTCCTAGCTCCAGCTCAGGACTCCACCTCTCTGCAAAGGCACATTCTCAGAGGCAGTGGCAGTGGCTCAAGTAACTGGTTCCTGCATCCACGTGGGACACACAGATTACACCTCTGGTTCCCAGCTTCAGCTGGCACAGTCCACGCCACTGCAGGCATTTAAGGAGTGAACCAGCAGATGGACTCTGTTTCTCAAATAAATCAACAACAAAGAGAACTAGCAAGGTGGAAAGCTAAGGAAGAGGATGTTAAATAACTAGAACTAAGGATCAAGTCATTAGGTATCATGACCAATGCAGGTCTCCTAGCACCTACTTTTTCATAACAAGAGTTTTAAGAAATTACAAAATAGTAATAGCAACAAGATTATGTTTGATAGGAAAGTTCACTCAGAAAAGATATTTTCAAATATACACAATGAATCAGTGTAACTGGCCAACACAGAAAGTCCTGGTTACCAACCATGAACTCATTTATTATAAAGAAATCTCCCAGGGCCGGCATCGTGGCTCACTAGGTTAATCCTCCACCTGCGGCGCTGGCATCCCATGTGGGTGCTGGGTTCTAGTCCCAGTTGCTCCTCTTCCAGTCCAGCTCTCTGCTGTGGCCCAGGAAGGCAGTGGAGGATGGCCCAAGTGCTTGGGCCCTGCACCCGCATGGGAGACCAGGAAGAAGCACCTGGCTTCTGGCTTTGGATTGGCATAGTGCTAGCCGTAGTGGCCATGTCGGGGGTGAACTAACGGAAGGAAGACCTTTCTCTCTCTCTCTCACTGTCTAACTCTATATGTCAAATAATAATAATAATAATAATAATAAAAAGAAATCTCCCTCTTATTATAGTCAAATAGTTGTCAACGACATCATTAGAAAACATCAGGTGAAATGTGATACCCTGAAAATTTAAAGAAAATGCAAAATGAAAACAAGGAAATCTGTGATTAGAGGGTTGCCATTTGATTATTATTTCAATCTTGCATTTTCAGATTATTTTATTTCAAAAAAGTAGCATTTATTAAATTCAGAAAATCAGCAGAACCAAATTCAGTCTTAATCACCTTGCCACCAGAGGTAAGTCCTGAGCCTGTTTGGGGAAAAAAAAAAAAGAAAAAGAAAAAAGAAAGACATGGCACTGGTATTGTGACACAGTTGGTTTTAAGATCAGCATCCCACAGGCTCAAGTCCCAGTTGGTCCATTTCTGATTCAGCTCCCTATTAATGTGCCTGGGAAAGTAGCAGAAGATGGCCCAAATCTGTGGAGCCCTGCACACACACAGGAGACCTGGACGGAGTTCCAGCTTCCTGGCTTCAGCCTGGCAGAGCCACAGCCACTGCAGCATTCAGGGTACCAGCAAATGAAAGTTTCTGCCCCCACCCCTCAACTCCACCTTTCAAATAAACAAACAGATGTTTAAAAAAGAAAAAGTTACAGCAATGAAAACAATTCATTTTAACAGATGATTATCAAAATGAAGAGACTGGACAGTAACAAAAGATCCTGCAATAATCTTTAAGCTACTACTTGCAGGATTGTTAAAAGTTGACACCCACTGCATTTTATTTTTTTAAACGTTTCTGTATAAATTCAGAACTTCTTTAAGAAGATTTTTCTTTATTTATTTATTTGAGAGGCAGAGTTACAGAAGAGGAAGAGAGAGAAGTCTTCCATCTACTAAGTGCACTCCCCAGTCACAACAACCGGAGCCTGGCTGATCCAAAGCCAGGAGCTTCTTCGGGTCTCCCACAGGGGTGCAGGGGCCCAAGCACTTGGGCCATCTTTCACTGCTTTTCCAGGCCACAGCAGAGAGCTGGATCAGAAGAGGAGCGGCCGGGACTCCAAGCAGAGCCCATATGAGATGCCGGTGCCACAGGTGGAGACTTAGCCTACTATGCCACAACACTGGCCCCCACCCACTACCTTTTAATCTGTTATGAAAACATCGTAAACTGGCATCTTAACACAAAGTGGAGATTAGAAACACCCATGTACCCAGATAGGAAGCCAAAGCTTACCTGCTGCACCTATTGGGGAGGTAGCTGGGGTCATGTTGTGGACATTGAGACCTAGACTCTGGGAGGGACCGGGGGCTGATGCTGCTAGGGGAGGTCCTGGAGGGCTCTCCCTCTGGGGAGAGGTGAGCGGGGTGGTCGGCTGGGAGGTCTGTCCACCAGCAAGTCGTGCAAGGCGCCTCCGACGAATCTACGAGAGGGGAAAGAGCACTCCATCAGTAAGCAGCAGCACCCAGTGCTGTACAGGGAGACATCCGTTATCGTCCTAGAGCTTAACAACTACGATCACACTCTGAGAAGAGCAGCTACTGGAGAGGTGTTCTCGCAGGCTCCCTGCTCACTTCTTTTAAAAAGCATTTATTTATTTATTTGAAAGACAGAGAGAGACAGAGACAGAGATCTTCCTTCCACTGGTTCACTCCCCAAATGCTGCAATGGCCAGAACTGGGCCATGCTGAAGCCAGGAGCCTAGTACTCTTGGGCCTCCCGCATGGGTGGCAGGGGCCCAATGACTTGGCCATCTTCCGCTGCCTTCCCAGGTGCATTAGCAGGGAGCTGGATCAGAAGTGAAGCAGCTGGGACTCAGACCAGCACTCATATGGGATGCCAGCATCACAAGCAGAGGCTTAACCCAGTGAGCCACAACACTGGCCCCTCCCAGCTCGCTTTTTAAAAACGTATCTTAATTTCCTGGCCACCTGTTTATGGCACTTCCTATACTGACACTGCGACTCTCCAGTTTTAAACACATGAAAGCCCACTGTTGTTTTAGTAAAATTGTATTGCTTGGTCACTTTAAATTGGTACGAGTTTTAAAAAATAGTCAATTAAATTCTTAAAACAATAAAAAAAGGTTACAGAAAAACACAAATTTTACCATCTCTTTCAGCAGGACTGATTAGAGTTTTTTCACTTGACTGCAATAAACACATGATCTCCTGAGTTATCAAGTGATGACAGACCGGTGCCACGAGGCCCAGTCAATCACAGGAACATTTCCTCCACATCTCCACAGCCATTAAGCTCACACTGACCACCTGCTGCCCCAGGCAGAGAGAACATCACAGTTCTGAGAAGGCTGCTGGCGCCAGGCGGGCCTGAGATGAGACACAAAGCACTCTTTCCATCATGAATGAGGGGGAAGAGAAAGCTCTACTGTGACAAATGCTAACAGGGACCACCTCGTCTGAACTAAGACCCTGACTGTCATTCTAACACCGCAGACAGTCTGCTCCCTGTATAATTCCCAGACAACAAGAGCATCCTGATTCTTGATGGAGAGGTCAGATGTCCCTCCCATGCACCTGCTGCAAATATACTTATCAATGAATGTACAGGGCCGGCGCCGCGGCTCACTAGGCTAATCCTCCACCTTGCAGCGCCGGCACACCGGGTTCTAGTCCCGGTGAGGGCACCGGATTCTGTCCCGGTTGCCCCTCTTCTACGCCAGCTCTCTGCTGTGGCCAGGGAGTGCAGTGGAGGATGGCCCAAGTACTTGGGCCCTGCACCCCATGGGAGACCAGGAGAAGCACCTGGCTCCTGCCTTCAGATCAGTGTTGTGCGCCAGCCGCAGCGGCCATTGGAGGGTGAACCAACAGCAAAAGGAAGACCTTTCTCTCTGTCTCTCTCTCTCACTGTCCACTCTCCCTGAAAAAAAAAAAAAAAGAAAAAAAGAAAAAAAAATCAATGAATGTACAGAAAACCCCAATCACTGGATTGGTCACTGTCTACTCAACTTGAAGAAAATGATTAGCTCTCATTTTATTTACTTAATAAAAACTTGGGTAGCACTTAACTATCTTCTAGCACTGTTCTAAGCATGATATTTGTCTGCTTAATCCTTCTAACAACCCATTGAGATAGGTACTTAAATTATGCCCACTTTACACACAAGCAAACTGAGGCACACAGAGGTTAGACACAATGCCAGACTAGGAAGCAGTAGAGCTCAAATCTGCCCTTTTGCAGTCTGGCTCAAACTTCAGGGTTCTCAACATTAGCTCAGCCAGTCTAGGGCCTCTAGGGTTGCACTAGACCCTCTCAGAGAGTCTACGAAGCCAAAACTTTTTATAATAACATGAGGACACCTTCATTTGCATTCTCTGGTAAGTACCCAGTGCACACATGATATGCTTTTACGACAGATTCAATATGTACTGAGGAGCCAGGTGGTTTTCCATTAATTCACACATTAACAGGATCTGCCAAAGTGAAAACAGTGTTAACTCTTCTCACTAAATTTGTTCTGGACAACATAAGTTATTTTCATGAAAAACGTTATTTTTTTCTATTAAGGATGAATATATATATCTTAAACTCCTAAATCTTCATTTGTAGCACGGTGAAGATGGATAGACAAAACACACCCAAACCAAAGTTCTCTGGGACCCTCAGTATTTCCGACAGCTGGGAAGGAATACTGAGACCAAACCCTTTGGGGACCACAGCACTCGGCCAGGCTGCCTCTGTCCCACTCACCATTCTCCCCTCAAGTCTAGCGCAGTGCATGAGCCCTCACAGGCACCCAACCACAGCTGCTGATTGAGCTGGACAGGGAGAAAGCAGAAGTCATCCTAAATCCCCCAAGGAGAACTGGAGTTGAAGTGAAAGAAAATCACTGAAAGAAACTAAAGTCTTTGGGGCCAGCGCTGTGGCACAGCTGTTAAAGCCTCAGCCTGCAGCACCGGCATCCCATATGGGTGCCAGTTTGAATCCCGGCCGCTCCACTTCCAAACCAGCTCCCTGATAATGTGCCTGGGAAAGCAGCGGAGGACGACCCAAGCCCTTGGGCCCCTACACACATGTAGGAGACCTGAAAGCAGCTCCTGGCTCCAGGCTTCAGATAGGTTCAGCTCCGTCCACTGTGGCCATTTGGGGAGTCAACCAGCAGATGAACTCCTCGCTCTCTGTAACCCTTTCAAACAAATAAAATGGGGGGGGGGGGGAGGCAGAAACTATGTCTTTCTCTCATGAACACTTTCCCTTTTCCTTGCTTTTTAAGGCTGAAAAATACACCACTGTTGAGTCTACACCACATTTTGTCAATTCATCCGCTTTGGATGCTTGGGTTAGTACTTCTATACTCTTGCCAATTACACTGCTATGAGCACAGGTGTAAAAATATCTTTGAGTACGTGCTTTTAATCCTTTTGGGTATATACCCAAGGAGAGTTGCTGAATCACAGGGTAATTGTATGCTTAATTATTTGGGAACATCCATACTGTGTTCTGCAGTGGCTCTACCTCTTTACATCCCCGGCAGCCATGCGTAAGAACTGCAACTGCTCTACACTCCCACCAGCATTTGTTATTTTCTGGGGTGTTTAGTAATTTCTTGGTAGTAGCCAACCAGATGTGGGGTAGTATCTGAAATTTGCATTCAGAAACCTAAACTCTGGGCACATACGTTTAACTTAATGGTTAACATGCTCACGTGCCGGGTTTAGCTGCTGTCTGAATGCTGGCATCCCATGTATATGGGCACCTGTTCGTGTCCCGGTTATTCCAATTCCAATCCAGTTCCCGGATAATGTGCCTGGGAAAGCAGTGGAAGATGGTCCAAGTGTTTGGTTCCCTGCATCCACATGGAGAGACCTGGAAGTTAACTCCTGGCTCCTGGCTTCGGCCTGGCCCAGCCCTGGCTGATTCAGCCATCTGGGGAGTGAACCAGCAGGTGGAAGATCTCTCTCTCTCTCTCTCTCTCTCCCTTTCTAACTCTGCCTGCCTTTCAAAAAAAATTTTTTTTAAAGATTTATTTTATTTATTTGAAAGAGTTAGAGAAAGAGGTAGAGACAGAGAGAGAGGTCTTCCATCTGCTGGTTCACTCCCCAGATGGCCGTAAAGGCCGGAGCTGCGCCAATCATAAGCCAGGAGTCAGGAGCTTCTTTCAGGTCTTCTGCACGGGTGCAGGGGCTCAAAGACTTAGGCCCTCCTCTGCTGCTTTCCCAGGCCATAGCAGAGAGCTCAGAAGAGGAACAGCTGAGACTCAAACCAGCGCCCCTATGGAATGCCAGCACTTCAGGCCAGGGTGTTAACCCACTGCACAACAGCGCCGGCCCCTCAAATAAATAAATCTTAAAAAAAAACAAAAACACAGTGGAAGGGAATATCATCTTAAACTTAGAACTGTATATACAAAACACATTGAATGTTAAGAACTAATTAAAAATTAAAGTTAAAGGGGCTCAGAGCTGTAGCACAACAGATTAAAGCCCCTGCCTGCAGCACCAACATGCCACATGGGCACTGGTTCGAGTCCCAGATGCTCCATTTCCAAACCAGCTCCCTGCTAATGAGCCTGGGAAAGCAGTATAAGAGGGCCCAATTGCTTGGGCCCTACACCCATGTGGGAGACCTGGAAGAAGCTCCCGGCTCCTGGCTTCAGATCAGCTCAGCTCCAGCGTTTGGGGAGTGAACCAGAAAATAGAAGACCCCCCCCCCCCGCCTCTACCTCTCTTTGTACTCTTTCAAATAAATAAGAATAAATCTTTTTAAAAAAATTAAAATTAAAAAATTCAAAGCAAAAAAAAAAGACTCTGGGTTCAGTTCCTGATCTAGCTACTGACTTGGGCCTGGCCCTGCCCTGGCTGCTGAAGGTATTTGGCAAGTTAACCAGCAGATGTGTGTGCACTCACTTGCTTTCTCTCTGCTTCTCATAAAAATTAAAAAAAAAATTTTTTTTTAACGGCTGGTTTAAGAAGAGGTTGCACTGGGGCCGGGACTGTGGTACAGCACCGCCTGTAGTGCCGGCATCCCACATGAGTGCCAGTTCAAGACCTGGCTGCTCCACTTCCCATCAAGCTCTCTGCTATGGCCTGAGGAAGTAGTAGAAGATGGTCCAAGTCTGTGGGCCCCTGCACCTGCGTGGGAGACACAGAAGCAGCTCTTGGGGCCCAGCTTCAGATCAGCACAGCTCTGGCCATTGCGGCCATCTGGGAAGTGAACCAGCAGATGGAAGACCTCTCTCTTTCTTTCCTTCTCTCTCCTTCTCTCTATCTCTGCCTCTGCCTTTCAGTAACTCTGCCTTTCAAATAAATAAAATCTTTTATACAAAAAAAAAAAAAAGAAGAAGAAGGAGAAGGAGAAGGAGAAGGAGGAAGAGGAGGAGGAGGAGAAGAAGGAGAAGAAGGAGAAGAAGGAGAAGAAGAAGAAGAAGAAGAAGAAGAAGAGGCTGCATCACCAACCCTCCTG